ACTTCAACCACTGCAAAACTTCATGAACTCACATGTTACCCAAACTTGGGATTCTATCTGCCACACAGACTGCTTTATCCTGGAGCACGTAGGTCCGTCTGCCTCCTGAACATCCCTACCTGGGGGGTGAGGTTAGCACCTTCCCCTTACATCTGAGTTGCAGGAGTCCCCAGGTCATGTCCCGCTTTGCTTTCACCCTGTCAAACCTTAAGGGTTAAACAGGGCACTTGCAGTGACCTTTGTAGCCCTTTGTGATAGGACCCTTACTGACCTCCTTTCTGGTCCTTTGCCTCCAGCTCACCGGCTCCAGCGCACTGGCATCTGGAGTCTGGAAGATGGGCTGGGCTCCATTTGCCTCTGTTCTCTTTTCTCATAAGCATTCTCCTTTCCCTGAGGGCCATGCACTGTGTCCTAACTTTCTCTTTCGTCTGACCAAAGCCATCTCCAGGAGAACAGGAGCGATTAGGGAGACATGGGAATGAGAAGGTACCCCCACCAACTCAGGAGTTAGGACACTTTTCACCTTTCCAACTACCATCTCTCATTGCATCTGAGACAGTGTAACAGCCTTGAATGTCACTCTGAGGAAGCATTGCAAGTTACAGTTCATCACCATGGGAAGCCAAGTCAGGAACTCATGTCAGGAATTTCGAGGCAGGAACTGAGGCAGAAACCTTAGAGGAATGCTGTTTTAATGTCCTGATTCTAGGCTTATGGTCAACTGCTCTTCTTAAACAGCCCTTCCTCACTTGCCTAGGGATGGTACTGCCCACAGACCCTCCTACATCAACTACCAACCAAGAAAATACTCCACAAACAAGCCCCCAAGCCAATCTAGTGGAGGCAATTCCTCAATGGAGAGTCCCCAGATGTGTCAACTTGACAACCAAGATTATGTACCTCACCACCTTATGCATATGCATAAATGAACATGCATCTCATTAAATTCAGATGCATTAAGGGAAAGGACACAGGCAATGAGCAAAAAGTTATGCACTCAAAGCTGGCCAATCAAACTAGAGAGCCAATTGTGCTATACAGCTGGGTAGCCAAACTCCTTGTGTACCATAAAAAGAGAGTCCCAAACAACAATGGGGCTCTTGAGTACTATCACTTGTGGTCTTCTGTCATTCTTGGCATTGTATTTCTTTATGAGCTGTGCTATTGCTCTCTTTGAATAAAGTTTCCTTGCTACTTAATAATGTGTGTGCCCCTTTATTTCATTCTTAAATAAGACACGGAGAAACTCCTGGGCCAGACCCTGACCGCCAGTAACATATTCTTATATGTTCATTTCTGATAGGTTCCGTAGACACAGATGACTGTATATAGTCATTCTTAGAGCTCAATCCTGTAATCCTCAAATGTTACAAAAACAAAAACCTTTCACACTAATTTTGAGACAGGTTTCACTCTGTGGCTTAGGTCAGCCTGAAGCTTACTATGTAGCCCAGACTGATTTCCCAAACTGACATTAACCCTGCTGCCTGTCCTCCTGAGTGTGAGGACTACAGGTGTGAGCCACAATGTCTGACTTACAATAACTAATTTAAATGAATTCAGAAATGTTTTGGTTCTTTATTAAAAAATGAGGATGCTACCTGTGCTCTGTGCATCCTTACAGATGATTTGAACTGACCACAGCATTCCTATCCTCAAGTCTTACTTAAGTGTGTGTCATAATTCTACGAAAGTGTGTATGTCACCTTGTTTCCTTGGAGTCTCTACAAGTTCACAAATAAGATGAATAAAAATGAATGCTGTAGTAGCATTTTGTAAGCTCTGCTTATAGCATGTAATATTTCTATAAGCCTTCCAGGTTTCAAATATCTGCACAACCATTGGAACATCCAAAACACTATCAGAATGGTTCATCACCCCTGATGTGGGTTTGGCTCTGGAGACTGAGCCCAGGGCTATGTCCATGCTAACTACATATGTGCTCAGTGGCTGAGCTCCACTGTCAGCTTTGGTTTTAGATGAGGATGGTAGGTTTAAAAGACACAACTTCGCCAATGAGCTGGCAACGATGGTGCCACCCAGCTATTTTTAGTTCCAAACCCCTTCAAGTCTTCAGGACTTTTCTTTACAAGCACCGACCTAGGAGACGCGAACTAGCCACACCAGGGCTGGCTCTGACTGTCCAGTGTGCAGCCCAGACGAGAGCTGTGAGATGAGGAAAGAACTTCCCACGAGCCAGGATCTTGTAAGGTGAATCATTTTAGGAATAGCTTTGCTTCTTTTTTTGACAAGAACTCACTACAGACAAGAACTGGCCTCTAACTTGCATCGTCTTCTCCTCAGCCTCCTGAGTGCTGGGTTTACAGACATGTGCTGCCATGCCTCAACATGAAAACGTAGGGGGAAAGCAGATGAATACTTAACTCAAAATTTATCATCCTCGCCACACAGCTTTCCAGTTCTTCACCTTTTGGAAAGACCTAAAAAGGATAAAAATTAGGGGAGTCCCAACATATATGTCATGAAAAATTCTCTAAATGTCAGAGAAAACAAAACCCACTTTGAAATTAAGAGTTTAGTCCCCTCTTCCCACTCCACCGCAGGCTAGCTGAAAACACAACTTGCCCACACAAATGGACAAAGACCTGGAGAAGGCCTCCTCACGCCAGGCTCTACTTGATATTCTGTGATCACTTTTTTCCTTTTGATTATCTTGTGTGTTTGTGTGAGATTGTAAATATGTCATTGTGCCCCTTCCCTTTCCTCCCTCTAAGCCATCTCATACACCTCTCCATGCTTTTTCAAATTCAGCCTCTTTTTTCATTAATTGTTTTTATGTGTGTGTGTGTGTGTGTGTGTGTGTGTGTGTGTGTGTGTGTGTGCATGTATATTCCTCCTCACTGTTGGGCAGTAGGCTGTCTCTAGCTTTGAATACCTAGTTTTAAAACATGTTTCTTTTTTCATAGTTCATGCTGGCCTCAAACTCAAGATGTAGTCAGTGAGCTTCTGGTCCTGATGTCTATCCCTGAGCACTGGGATTGTAGGCTTGCCCCACCGTATCTAACTTATGGGGTGCTAGGATCAAAACTAGGTCTTCATGCATACTTTACATCCCCAGCCTTTATTAAATACTTAGTAAGCCATCTTTATTATTATTATTATTATCACTATTTAAAAACATCTTTTCTGTAGATGTACTGGCACTGTCCCAAGGGCTAGTTGACCCATTGACTAGAATACAGCTGCCAGGCTTATGCTCAAGGGCAACACATTAACATAGGCACCACAACATGCCATGAGATCTGGGATGGCGGGATGCCTGAGAGCTATAGACTGTAGAATTTGCAACACACTGCACAACAGTTCCGGAAGGACTTTATCATTAGGAGACCGGATGAATCAAAAAATGGGGATAATGAATTCAGGATGAGCAGGAGAAGGCCCAAGGAAGGTTACCAGGAAAAACATGCCTTCTTTTTCTCCCATATGTATCACCTCCAATATCCCTTTTGGATATTGTCTGTGGCAGAAGCTATTATCTGTCTCCCCAAATCCACTCTTTTCTCTTTTTTTCTGGAACTAATGGCACAGCTAGAAACACTTCCCTCCCATGTATCCAGAGACAGGGCTTGTGAAGGTCGCCAAAATAGGAGTATGTTGTCCTTTGCCCCTGTGTCCATGTCTATGCAAGGTGGAGGTGATGGCCAGAGCTCTGACAGTTATTTGGAACCATAAAGAGGGAACAGAGCCACACATGGAGGGGAAATGGAACTGTGTGCTCAAGAGGTAACTGACAACTTTGTGAAGCCAACTTACCTTATCCATTTCCTTCATTCATAAGGAGACAGGCTTAGCTTGAGTCACTAATTCTTGCTCCACTCTCCCTCTTATATGCATCAAGCCTTCCAAAACCATTCTAGATCACGATTCTTGTTTTCTCTTGTAACTATAGTTCATCTCACTAAGTGGTGGCTCTACTGGTAGTGTTTTCTTGAAAATAGAAGTGGACAGTACAAAAACTATTCCCCAGGCGAAGCAGCTCAACGTCGTCTGCTGGCAGTTTTCACTTTACAGTTTATTTCTGGGGAACCCCGGCCTCTAAGCAGACAGAAGGAATGTGGAAATGTGGAGATGATGTGTGTTAAAAGTCAAATTAGTCCTCCAGTGCTTCCCTTCCCGGTCTCCATCTTCCAAACCCGGACTCATCTACATTCACACTGCGGATATGGCTCACCCCAAGTTGAGTTCTAGCCTTAAGCTGTCGGCATTTCTGTAAACACCCAGTTTCAACTGACAGTCCTTAGCAGAGAACTACATGGCATGTGGGCTACAAAGCATCATGGGAAAAGGAAAGAAAAGTTAATCTGCACACCCATGAAAGCCGAGAGGTAAAGGAAGAAAAACGGCAGGAAAAATCAACAATATCTAAAAACCCAAATCATTTTTTAATTTACTTTCTCTGCAGCTAAAGACTTGCTCTTTCTTTATTAACTTTAGTCTTTTGAGTAATTTTTTCCATCGTAAGCACTTTCTAAAAAATCATTTTCGCACATTTCTCAGATACATCAATCCTTCTGGCATTCCTCTCCGCACACATTATGGTACCCGAGCTCTAAATATAAAAGACTTTTATTATGTCCATTAACCATGGACATATGTGCTCCAAAAGTTTCCTGACACGCAGTCATTTGTGGTTTTTTTAATTATAAACAGAAAATATTCACTAGAAAAATAAAGAAGTGAGCCCATAAATACATCTTTATACATTTGAACTTTGTTTGTATATGACAAGACGGTGGGATAACTGACTCTCAGGGTTGCCCACACCAGCATGTGAGCATGCATGTGTTTATATATGCTGAGAGACACATACTATTCCCATATGCAATTAGAGCCATGCACCGAACAGAGCTCAGAACATCTGCAACTGTGGGTACCGTGGTCTTACTTCTAAAGGAAGGGTACAGATTTTTCTTAGATTCTCCAGGTCTTGTTCCAGTGAAGAATTAAAATGGGAAAGGGCAATTTGACAAACAAAGTCGGATTTATTGAATGCGTTTTATTTTAACAACCAAAAAATTCTAACAGCCTAACGATGCACATAAGTTAAAAATTAATTATCACTTAGTGATAACAAAGATAGTTGATTTACATGGAAAAAAAGAACATTTACAATATGTTAATCCTTATTCACATTATTGATACTGCAATAAAACACAATTTGTTTTTTTTTTCTTCATTTCACAAAAAAAAAAAGGCGGGAAATTGTGCTTTGTCAAGAGGCACTACAAGAGAAAGTTTCTTCTTCCAAATAGATATTATATGACAGATATTGAATAAATAGACATATATGCATTGTAATTCGCAAAGATCTGGCAAGACCACAGGCTAAAATGCCCACAGATTCACTTAGAATCACTGCAAACTTGGCAGTGAAATTAAAAAATAAAAGGCAAGACTTAGCATTGAAAAATACCTAATAAATTTTTGGTTGAAGTGTAAAAGATACCAAATGCGGATGTCATCAATCGATGAACCACCTGTAAGAGCTTGGCAAAAAAATTGGCGCCTAGGACATATACAGGGTGACGTCAGCAACAGTGTCAGAAGACAATTTGGAAAGAGTAACTCGGAGATCAGGAAGCAGCAACTGTGGACTCTCTGATTAAGCTGCAGCATCTACAGAAACAGGAAGGGTGGGCCCAGGCCTCAACTGCAAACAGCCATCCTTTTGCAAAGATACATGACACTCATGTCAAGGTAACCATTTTCAACATCATTATTTGAAAAAGTACAGGAAAATGTCCCTTTGAGAACTCCAGAGGTTACTAAGCGGCCAGAGTTAGCTTGTATTGCAACGTGTCTTCTCCCTGTAGAGTGTTAAGTTCTGAGTTAATATCTACACATAGAGGTTTTTTTTTTTAAAACTCCTACCTCTTATACCTTTCAAATATATAAATAGTATTAACAGTTATATTACAATGTTTGTGTAGTAAACAGAAAATAAATTTCAAAGTGATATTGCATGAGGTCTTTGACAAGGTTGCATGAGGATACAACTCAAAAACAAACAAACAAACGAAAAAAAAACAAAATCCAACCGTGTGGGACTGCTGAGTGGCCACCTCAAGCCTGCAGTAAGTTCAGGAGGCCAGTCCTGAAGGGGGAGGTCTCCTCTGCGATTGCTGTCAGTGGAACTGGAAGGTAACACTACTGTTTCTAATAGGAAACTGAAGGAGATTTGGCAAACTGTAGTGGATTGTAGCTTTATCGCTCATTCCACACAACAGCCCGTTGGCATTAGTTCTGCATGACGTCAGGTAAGGGCTATGTGGGGCACTGGGACAGTATTTCCTTTTCCCAGGAGTAGGTGACTCTGCTGAAATTGCTTCACTTACTCTATTGCCTGGAGGTGCACATTGATTTAAAACCAGGTTCCTGTGAGGGCTGCCATGGCAGGGGAAGGTGTGGAGGCGGCGTTGTGAATTCAGGGTCTGCAGAGGTTTGGCTAAAGTTGATGGGATGTGTACGAAGAAAATGAAATTCAAAATGGAAGAGGAGTAAAAAACACTCAGGGAGAGGGCCGGTGGAGATTTATTGGAGCGGAAGCTCCTCTAACTGGGCAGAAACTTCTTTATCTAACTTAACATTACATTGAACTATGTTCTATTTAAAAACAAAACAAAACAAAAACAAAAACCAGAAACAAACGAAAGGGAAAAAAAAAAGTCAGCAACAACCAACAATTTAAAAATTTTAAATGAGCAGGCTTAATAATTTTAAGATTTGAAGCCACAAGCGGGTAAATAAACTTCACAATAAAATGTGGCTCACAGCATGAATTCCGTAAGTCCCATGTCAAAATGTCATTTGTCGAGACTGTGCTAACGGTCAAGTTTCCTCTGCACTGGACTTGGCTGGGAATTCGACAGAACGCACCTGTTTGGCTACAGTGCTGACACGCTCAATAACGGAATATGGAGGGTCACGTCGTTGAGTCGTTTCTTTAAAGTGTGCACTATATCTTTAAGAGTAACTTGTCTTGTATTGTTTCTAACATGCCCTGATTTTCTCTCACTCTCTTCTTGCCTTCTTTCTCTTACTTTTTATTTTGGCAGTGTTAATTTGTTAAATACATACCTCAAAAATTACCCATTAAGCTGCCAGTAGGAAGCCATAGAATTTAAAAAAAAATCAGGGACAAACACACAAAATAAATAGGAATTCAAAAATAGTCACCCCACCCTGAGAGCAGGCCGCAGTTTCTCAAAAAGCCAAAGCGACTCACTGTGAAGTGGTATTTTTTTTTATACATAAACAAGTCTTTTCTTTAAGAACTCATTTCACAGTCTATTCTTTCAGATTGTAAAGTTCTCTGTCCCATGCAATTTTTAATATATATATGTAAATATAGAGATATGTACATATACATATACACACACTCGTAGCTTCCCTCATTTATTTCGTGGGTCTTTCCATCCTGGAACGTGCCTGGTGTATCTTCCGTAAGTACAAGGAAAATGAAGGCAGAGTCTCCTGTGACTAGCATTATTATGGTCCAGTCAATTGTAAAAGTTTGACACCCAGTGTCCCCGCCAAGGCGACACCTGACTCGGAAACACTGAGCTTACTCAGTCTATAGGCTATCCTGTGCGACAGAGGAATGCCATTAAGGGTAAGAAAAATAAAAACACACATTAAAAACAAAACAAAATAAACACAGCCAAGAGGATTTTTTTTTAAGAAATGAAAACAGAAAGTCCTTGGACCCATATATTGCTTTGCCTGCTGGAGTTCACATTATCTCTGGTCGGCTTCAGCCGGAGCTGCCTTGCTCTTCTCTGCCGCGTTGTCCTCCTCCGCCTCCACCTTGTACATCTCCTCCGAGCCTTCCTCGCTGTCGTTCTCCTCGGACTCGGTCAGCAGCTCCTCGTCCTTATATTCTGCCACGTCCACCGCGGAGCCCAGATGCTCCTTCAGCTTCCCATGATGCTTCACGTGGTACCTCTGGTTCTGGAAGAACTTGATGATGGTGTGTTTGGGGAGATCCAGCTGGGCCGAGAGTGTGTGGATGGCTTCCTGGTCAGGGTAGAGACCTACATCATGGATGAAGCTTTGAAGGATGCCCAGGGCTTCTAAGGAGATCTTTGTGCGAGACCGAGGTTTTTTGGCACAGCTGTCTTCAGCTGGAGGGGGTGGTGGGGGCGCTTCTTCCCTGGGAGGGGAGCTTTCCTTGGTTGGCTGGGACTGCTGTCGATGAAGGACCTGATAATCAGAAGGTGAGAAGGTTAGTGTGACTGGGATCTTACTTTGCAAAGCCACCAGACCTTTGTACCATGTACCGCTTCCCACATACTGCATTTAGACTAGAGCCACTTGTAAACTAGAACTTATTTACAAAGACTTAGATTCTCGTGTATAAACTGTGGGGTCCATCAGAGTCATCTGAGCAGAATAAGGTGGTGTAATGCTGACATTCCCAGCATGTAGGAGGCCTAGGCAGGGAGATTTCCATGAATTTAAGCTCAGTTTGGGCTACTCTGCAAGTTTGATGCCAGTTTAGACTAGTAAGACCTTGTTCAAAAACAACAAAAAAGAAAGAAAAAAATCAAAGGAATTACATAAATGGGCATTTCCATTGTGAGGTAGTTAAGCCACTTGGCTGAGGTCATCTGGAGCATGGCTTCATCGAGGAGCTTGGCTTGGATCATCTATACCTGTAACCACACCTGCATAACACACTAATGACAGAGACAGCACAGTTCAACCTTAGACTCCTCTGCTTAGCTGGGCATGGCTTCCAGCAGCTGTCTCATCATATATCAAAAAAAAATTAAAGAAGTGGCCACTTGAGATGTGTCTACACTACAGTGCTCTGAAAGGAGGGATGGACCTTTCCAGTTCCAGGCCATAGTCACTGCTCAGCGCTACTCAGTTTGAGCGAATGAGCTCAGCTGCACCCAGCTAAGACTGGATTTGGCCCTGGAGATCCTGGTCAGCCCATCCCTGGCTTGGTGCAAACTTTCAGTCAGTGGGAATGACTGCTATTCTCATCCTCATCATTCCTTGGGGGATATAGAGAAATAGATGAACCAGAAAACACATCCTTTGCAGAACTAGGAAGAATTTTCTCTTCTTTCAGTTTTTGATCTTTAAATGCAATTATTTTTAAATAATATTATGCAAATTTCAAAGTAATTTAAAGATATAACTTCTGTATGCTTTAAATTTTAATTGACTTTTAAACACATTTAGATGGGCACTTTAATATCACGATAAGCTAATTAACCCTCTGTTTTGAGCATACTTCCAAATTTCTATTTTTTAATTGTAAGGTTTACTAGCTAGCTGTTAAAATTAGGATAATTCTTTCTTTTTTCATAAATAATCCTCTTTTTATCTCTTCCTATACCACACATTTATTTAAAATGGTAACTCTAGTCTGAGCTCCACACCTTCAGTAATATTGGTGTATGAAAAAGCTTCCCATTCTAGAACAAACATATTAACATGTCAGTGTGTCTACAGAAAGACAGTGATGCAAGGAGACTGTCCAAAGAACCCTACTCAGCAATCATCCCAGGCCTGGGACAGGGCTTCATGAAGACTGGAAGGGATAATGTCACCAGTGAGGAACCTAGACCATCACCAGCAGCTGACCTATCCCTGCTGTGACATGTGAGGTCATGTACAGAGCTGAGGGTCACATTTCCTGTGCTCAGACAGTACCCACCTTCCTGTCCCCTCTCAAGATTCTCTACCATAACAAGTTCACTAAAATAGCAGCATACATTTCTTCCTTACAATTTCTATTGTTTTATAAACTGTTTTCCCAAACTACACAGAGTCCAGGGATAATCAGGCCCAAGCAACATAGAAAAAAATGTACATAGTTACGTTTAAAATGATCTCCCCTGGTGTCATCCGCATCCCCATTTCTCCCATGATAGGGACCAGCCATGTGGCCCACTGTTTAGCTAAGAACCAACATCAGCTTCAATATGAACAGTGAAAGAAAAAAAAATCTGTGTTCTTTGCTCCAGTCCCAGAGGCCTATGATGAAAAGCATACTTTCTCACCAATATGAAAACGCCTGTTTTTTTATAGTTTAATGAATAGTAGAGGAGATAAAATATGGCAACAACAGAAAAAGTTTAAGTCTTTTCCAGTAACTACCACCAACTGAGAGCTACACATACATGGTGGCCCAAATCTGTATAAGCTCTCGGGAGGATTTGAGAGTAAAGATCACAAACAGAAGGCCAACCTGGGCTACATAGTGAGACTAACTACTGTAATAAACTGGTGGCTGGTGGCAGAAACAAATCCAAGACAAAGGACTATAAAACAGTGGACTGGCATCCAAATAGTGTGGACAAATTAACAGGCAATGTTCCTAGCATTTTCTTCACTACTTTCAACTAAAAGCAAGCTCAGGCTCATGTGGTCTGCTGTGGTAAAGCTGGCATCAGCAAAAAAAAAAAAAAAAAAAAAAAAAAAGTGAGAGTTCTGTTCCTCCAACATCCTAATTATCCCCGCTAGGGAAAACTAGGCTGCATTGCAGGCTCCCACAGCTCGAGGTGGTGGCTTTGATGGCAGGAAGATATGTGCTCAGGGTCCATGATGTGGGCACTGTGAGCATGGCAGTAAATGAGCCACTGTGGCAACAGGTGAGGGTCTCAGCTTTGGTGAGAAAGAGGCCTGGAATTAGGGACAAAGCACAATCTAGCAGGACATGTGCTCAAGCGCGAGTGGTCCCTATTAGAGCAACTGTGTTAATTGGAAAACAAAAGAGAATTAAAATACTCATTTTCTAAATTATGCTTGCCTTCTGTAGTAAAAGTCAGCAGAACGGTTCCATTTAATTGAATAATTAGATTGGTTCTTAAGGGGCTTTCCATTGTGCCTTGAGTAGATTTAAAGAGATTTTCCAAAACTATACTTTGAAGTTACTATAATCTTTCTGCATGATAGCATTTGTTCTCCTTAGGCCCTACCAGTTGGACTACTCTACTTCCCCTCATTTCTTAGAACAATACAAATGTACAAAGAAGGCAAATACGAAAAACTCAGTAACAATAATAACAGCAAGTGCCTACTCGAGGCTTATTTGGCTCCAGGCAGTTCTAAAATAAATAAATTAAAATGTAATCCTACAATTGCTCATAAAGGTATAATCTGGAGCAAGAACCAACTGGAAGCATGCTGCATCATAGGATACGCTTCTAAACTGGAAGGCAGGAATACAGGGAGATGCAAGGCTGAAAAAAAACATGGGCTACCAAGGGACATTGCCCATCATAGACCAGAAAGGTGTTTCTAAAAAGAAATACTAGCAACAAAAGTTCCCATAAAGTGAAATACAGTTTCTGAGCAAGAATACAGATGAGTGGGTTGGTGGGTATGACAATACACGCATGAAGGAATTTAGGTACCAAATCTAGTACCTTCTAACAGACACTAAAAGAACAGTCAAAATACAGAAGACAAATGGACATGTCTAAAGTTACTAATGGGCTGAGCCTTTTACTTTTACACTCCCACCCACGGCACGGATAACATCTGGAATGAAATGATCTAGCTGTCTAGCCCGCCCAGCTCTCTTTACTTTTCCAAAATGTTCTGCCTCCTCTAGACAAAGAACTCACATCTCTAGGTGGTTTCTAGCAAAAGATCTGAATAATTTTGCACCTATCTAAAGTCTATGAAAGATAGTACATGGAGCAAATAGAAGGTAGAGTTCTTCATTCCAAGATGGTCTCACTTACAAGATGGTGCTGGCCACGAGGAAATACAATTCAATTCTCTCTCTCTCTCTCTCTCTCTCTCTCTCTCTCTCTCTCTCTCTCTCTCTCTCTCTCTCTCTCTCTCTCTCTCTCTCTCTCTCTCTCAAATTCAGCATTTTTCTTTCTCACAGGACAGACTTGTAAACTCGTTCCAGTGAGTTTAAACTTCCCTGCTTGAATTTCTCACAGTATGCTGCTCCCTGTTCTCCTTCAGTCAGTAGAATGAGTCAAGGTTAGTCTGCGTCTCCATGGAGTACTAGGAGAGTCACCTCACTGATTCTTGGTGAACACCCTTGCACGCAGTCCCATTCTGGAGTTCACTGGGCACTTGTTATTTATGGATGGCTAGGTTTGTTTTCAATTTTTTGAGATCATTGTCATTTTCCTCTTCCATTTCCTCTCTTCAAAGTCTCCCAGGTACTCTCCTCTCTTGTTGCTGACTTGTTCTTCAAATTCATGGCAAGCAAAAAGGTTCCAAGGAAAGGACAAGCATGCAGTAACTGAAAAACAAGGCCAGCCATTGGAGCTGTGCTCTCCAATGCAGTAGCCAAGACCGCATGCAGCTTTTGACATTTACTTATCCATGGGTGTGCAAATGTGTGAGTATATGTGTGGATGTCTCTCAATCTTGGGTATCTATTCCCAGGCACCATTTACTCCCCACTCCCCCTTTTTGACACAGGATCTCTTGTAGCTCTGGAATTCACCGAGAAGGCTAGACTAGCTGGCCAGAAAGACCCAGGGATCCATCTGTCTCAACCCCTTCAATGCTGGGATTACAAACACACCATCATGGCTCCTAGATATGAACTCATGTCCTAGTACATGTGTGGCAAACACTTTAACAAATGAGCTGTCTCTCCAGACCTCCACTCACATTTGAACAAATTAAATATAAAAAAGAAAACTGGAGTTCTTCAGTCACATTAGCCACTTCTCAAGTGCCTGGATGGGTCCCAACTATAATATCAAGATGGACAGCATGGGCACAAGGCACTTCCACACTCACAGAAAATACTGATAGACAGCCCAGTGCCAAAGAATGGTGACAACGAAGGGGGATGGAGCCAGGACTGGAGCATGGAGGGCTTGGCATTCTATCATCAGGGTGATGCAATACCCTTAAGAGACCTGTAATCATATAATCTATTCTAAAAACCAGAGCTCCAGCTGTAAAGGGCTACTATTGTAAGACAGACGAGCAAATACCTGTACGCCCATATACTAAATTCAAAATATTCAGCTTATAATGTGCTACTGGAGTCTCATCAATGTATCCCAAACAGGAACATTAGCATAAAATAGCCAGATATGTCCTCAAAGGAATTGTATTTACATTTAATGGGTGGCTACCTTCTTCAGCTAGGGCGCTTACCATTGTGTTTGAAACAACTAGCCTTGAGTTGACAGAGAAAAAAGTACATCCCATCATCAAATAGTTATGGGGTATCTACAACTGGCCCTATTAATTTAGATGAC